AGGATGGGATTTTCCCGCTAAAAAGACAGACGTTTATCAGGACAAAAGGTGTTTCTAAACGTAATTTCTTTTGTTTTAACCGCTGCAAAGGCGTTAATACGTCTTTATTAGGTTATCCTTGTGTTTTCTGTTTTCTTAATGTCGGCGATGGACAATTCCTAGCTTGAGTCCGGAGAAGAAAAGGTAATAAATTCACTGAAATTCTGTTGCTTATTTGGATAATTAATTAACACAGGATAATAGATCTAAAGCGAGTGACAAATGACGACTATTCGTCACTATTCGCCACTTTTAGCGACTGTTCGCCACTGTTCGCACTATTCGAGACTATTCGCACTATTCGGGACTATTCGCTATTCGCGACTATTCGCTATTCGTTATTCGGATTTTCCAGGCACCCCGATTGTGCTTGTAAAATGCTGGAAAGTTGCTCACTTCAATGCGAAAAGTTGCTAAAAAGTTGCTGCCTAAATTTCTTGATATTTCATGATATAAACGTTATTTTTCTTTATTTACAATTTACTGCTTACATCGGTCCACAGATAAATGAGACATAAATCGTTTTTTTTTTTTTAAATACACACCAAACAGTGAAAGATTCTGAAAAATACACAGCTAAAAGTGGCTTGAAGCTTAACTATAAAGGAGCTACGTCACGCTTTGCGCATATTGAAAAGTTTAGCCTCAATTTTTCAAATTTGTCGTTTGTAATCCGTGTTAATCTTCTCCATCCTTAGCCATCCTTGTTCCTTTAGGGTTTATCATTATCTCTTTGGTGTTTTTCTATCTTATTACACTGGTATTTTAAGGTTTCCCACCATTTAAAGGTAATTTTGTATGTGGCCAAAATAACTCAAAATACCGTGACAGCTCCTTTAAACAGTTGCTCGCGAATATGAACGAACCAATGGGCCCGCGAAACGTTGTCAAGTGACAAGTTATCTGTCCAAACTTCGAAAGATTGATAAACATCCAAGGAATTCGCATAAATTTAGGTTTTCTATGAAATTGTCGACTTTTTGTTACTTGATATGTGCTTTTAACCTTTATTTTGATCTTAAGTTGCTCAAAAAGGCAAAACTTGCTCGAGGTTGCTAGAACCGCAAAAGGTTACTCCAAACACCAAAAGTTGCTCAAAAGTTGCCGAGCACAATCGGCTCAGGGGCCCGTTTCGCGAAAGCCCCGGAAACTTTTCGGGCCCTCAAGACCATTGTTAGTTAATCTGTATCTAAAACGGGAGGAATGTGTGTGCCTGAAACTTCTTTTATAAAGGGAAACTATATTCATATCAAGAATGTGTGAATTACAGCTCTGTAATCATAACGTTTAAGATTTTGCTGTGGCTTTCCAGGCGCGGAAACTTTTCGGGACCTTCGAGAAATGGGTCCCAGACCCAGAGGAGAGGGGCAAGTCGTCATATCCCTTTGTCTTCAGAAATACTGCCAATCAACCTGAAGTAGCAGAACAGTAACAGTGAATAAGTTATTTATTTCATTTCACCGACCTTGTCTAGCTTTCACATCACAACAGGCAACCTCGTTCCCAGGGTGTCTCATCTTACCGCCCTCTGGAGCGAGCGAAGAGTGATTCTCTGGTCGCTCGCTCCAGAGGGCAGTAAGATGAGAGACCCTGGGAACGACGTTGCACAACAGGTGCTTAAAAAAACACTTCGTTACAAAAACGACATAAACTAAAAAGGAAATCACTACCGTGAAGAAGGCTTGGATGCCTGGTCCTGATTAGCATAGATTTTGACGATTTTACTTCTCCTCTCCGTTTACTTCTTAGTTTTTGTTTCAATTGAGAAGATATATCAAATACTCGAGACAGTGTTTCATCGGCGATTCAATCACCTCGAATTTCGTCAAAAATACTCCGCTGCGCGTCGTATTTTCAACTCTCTTCTCGGTATTTGGATATCCCGATGAAACACTGTCTCTCGTGTTTGATATATTGCGTAACTATTTCAAATGTGATAGTACAACAAGTGATCACTAGTTTGGAAAGTTTGTTTGTTTTAATCATGAATTCTTCATAAACACACTCCGCAAACAAGCTGAGACCTAATAATTGTTAATCTGTTTGAAGTTTATTTATAACAGAAAAGGAACGATTGCTTTTCTTCCTTTGGGGTAATCTTTAAATTCTTTGCGATAATTGCGATGCTTTCCGATTGCCCACACTGACATTTGATAAAACCCTGCCAAGATGAACAGCACCACTGAAAAATAAACGACACGCGTTAGTAACTGTGAAAATAATTTTTACACCTAATCGTACTTTTTTGGTAGCTTCGGTGGTATATCAGGCCAGCTTGGTCGAGGCATGGCTCGAAGTTTGGCAAGACATAGTCGCGACAAAATGTTTTTCAAATCCCCTCCCCTCCCCCGCTCCTTTTTTTCGTTATCGAAGACGAATAGGGCTTTTCGTTGATTTAATATGGAAGAAAACGTATCAACAATTTTGCGTCTTCAAAATTTCAGATCGCTCTGTTTCTTTTGTGGAGGAATGAAACAATTTTCCACAAGTTAAATAAAGCGCATGGCAGCATCATTTGGTAACTACATACCTGACAATGTCTGAGTCATCACCGCAAAGGATAACCAAGCCCCCACCTGAGAAAGAAAGGAAGATAGAAAAATTGTTGAAAATAAATATGCGAATCCCTTACCGCTAGCGCTTGAGGTTGTTAAATGAATATTTGGGAGTCTTTTTCGATTCTTATGACGTAGTTCTATGGAGATCCGTGTAGCGTTCCTGATTGGTCGTTTCTTGGTTTTTGAATTTTCAC